AATGTCCTCCCTTATTAGATCATGTCACAACTGCCCCAAGACAAAAATCAGATTGAGCATTCAACCCCTTGTATGTGTTGGGCCATTGTTGACTTGGGACAGGTTGTAGTGGGCTGTGAGAATAACCTTGAGGAACAGGAAGAAGAGCTTCAACAAAGACAATGGTCACATAAGAGAAATCTGAGTGCAAAGCAGGAATGTAATTTAAGAAAGCATCTCAAAGTTGACCCTCCCTAGTTCTCTTGAACGTTAAGGCAAGGAGGGGAGAGGTACATTCAGACTTGTGAGATTCTGTTACTGTAACCATATAATAAAAGTTACTATTAGCATTCATCACTTTGGTTTCCTGGTCTGGACTACCTTGAAGGGCTGACACAGGCCCATGGTTGCCACAGAGGCCATGAACTCCTGCACCATCCTGGCACCTCCACCACCAGGCAGCAGATTTTTCTTTCCATAATTAATAGTGCTACAGGAGCACAATCAGCTGTGGCAACGGAATCAGGAGTACATGTATGTATCCTATCAACTAAGCACTGATATATCAATCATCATCATCATCATCATCACAGGAACAAATCTGACCAATATACTAGAAATGGTAGTTCTAACTTCAGTGTCACTCCAGGAGCATCCTTCCTAGAGATGCCATGGGAACTGTATAATTAGCCCAATTAACTGAATGACAACAAGCACACAAAACATTCTGAATCAACTCCAAAATAAGCTTTTGCTTCCTCTGTAACTATGAATCATTTCTGTGACATGAACAATGCTGCTAACATTTTTTTCAACAGACTCTCCCATCAAAAACACATTCATTACAGAGTTCAAAGGAGTTTGCTCTGAAGAAGTGCACCCAGGTCTGGAGTCAGACTTTAGTCAAGCTGATCTATGTATGTATGTGTGACTGATGTATATTTGTTCCATTTCTCATTCCATCTCTATCCTGGAAGCAAAAAACAGCATACATGGGATTGTCCTCCAATTTTATCTCCATAATAACCCTGTGAAGTAGGTTAGACTGAGAGAAAGTGCCTAGCCTAAAGTGACCTAGTGAGCTTTGTGGGTCAAAGCTGGACCTTCCCCAGCATGATCGCAACACTCTATGGTGACAACATAGGCAGCGATTACATACTTGTGTCCCTGTGTACGTAAATCATGGCATTTGAGTTGACATTATTATGCCAAATATGGGCTATTGCAACACAATTCGTTGGATGGGCTCAGATACTCCATTAAACCATAATGTTCTCTGGATTTGGTTTAACAGATTATGTGAACTCATAAACTAGGTCCCAAGGACCTATTTATCTAGATTATAAACTGTAATTTATGACTTAGCATGTTGTACAAGTCTAGCTATTTGTGGTTTATTCAACAAAGCATGATTGAAGGAACCAGGGTTTAGCATAATTGGGTTCACACTAATCCCATTCAGATCATCTGAGGAGGGACAGATCCACTTCTGAAAGCTACAAAGATATCAGGCAGATCCTTCTTCTCCTGAGTCATATAAGACTTTGGGAGAGGGGGACTGCAAAGCAGCCATACCAAACCATCAGGCAGGTCCAGAGAGGAATGATGCATCACCCTGAGTAATCAAGGTCTAGTTCACACGTGACATGACTTGCTTCATTGTGGTTTATTGCGTATGCCACTTGGCTGAGTTTGCATATCATTTCACTAAATTATAAATTATTGAAGCTTGAGTTGAGATTAAAGGCATAATCCATAGTTGAGATCTACCATCTGAAGAGCAGTAGGACAATGCTAGATATATGATCACTCTTGTAAGCAGAATGTGATGTACCATCATTCTCATGAAGTTTTTCCATTATAACAAAATCCTCAAGAAGACAGCAAAGCATTTTACAGAAAACGAAGACACTCCCTCACTTCAGCCTTCTCATAGTAAGGTAAGAGTTGAGAAATTCTACCCCCTGCTTTTCAGAAACAGTCTTGGAATCCTCCCCTTCACTTACCCAAGGAATTCAGAAAATTTCAGCAAGTGGTTATCTCCATCAAAGTTGGTGCCAGCTCGTAGTGACCACAGAGATAGACCTTCTCCAGGATGATCTCTTCCCAGTCTGGTCCTTCAGATCTTCTAAAGATGCACCCATCACTGCTGTAATCGAGTCCATCGACCTTGCTGCTGGTTCTCTTCTTTTCTTTCTCTTCAGCCAAGACCTACAATTTTCTGATACATGCAGAAAATATTCTGCCTTGAATTTTGATGAGCCTCTCTTGGAAGGAGTTATTACTACTGAATTTGGTATGCATTTTATCATGTGACATGAAGCCTCTTTTTATCTTAAAGACTGGGGCTAGACCATAATTTGAGCAACCCAAGTAGCATATCGATTTCTAGCTCTAAACCAGACAGTACCTCAAATATTTATAAACAAAGTTCCATCCAGAGGTGTGGTGTGTTTGTGTCAAAACAGGCAAGATGGCAAATGCCTTGTAGATCCCACAGCTTCAGAATGTTTTTACAAGGCTCTTAAAAACCTGGCTGTTCCACTCTGCTTTTTAATAAGTGGAACATCCATTTTATTTTGTCTTAACTCTTGCAATTATTCTAAATGTTTTTCTCTTGGCTTGATAAGATGTCTCAAATGGCAACAGAAAAGTATTTGGAACACACAAATAATAAAATTAAAATGTAGCAATTTTTCTAGCAACATAATGTAGGCTTTTTAATGTAATTTCTTCCCTATGTCATCAACAAAATATGGAAACACTTAAGCATTCAGGAAGAGTTATTTGAGGATTTGGAAACTTTTGGAATTCCCACATTATAAGCAAAAGTTTTCTTTATTATTAAGTGAGGAGTAAACAGAATACATTGTGTGATGAAATATGAAACAGACTTCTTTTTTGTCTCCCTTTCAGCCAGGCCAAAAACTGATAGGGCATCAATAGGATCAACCACCAATCATCCACACTAAACCAGCTTTTCTAATCTGGCACTGTCTGGACAGTTTAGACTACAATTCTCACCAATCCCAAACCTGTTGCTGGGTTTGATGGATATTGAAGTGAAACACATCTGGATGACACTGAGCTTGGAAAGGGAGAACAAAGATACTTTCCTCTTGACTGGATTCCTTTCTCATAGACATCTTTGAATTATCTGCAGTTTAGAAAGAATCTAGAACTTGTGCCATGGAGATTCAAAAATCCTTACTGGAAGATTTTATCATGAAGGTTCCCCTGCCCACCAGGAAAAAATAGCTAATAAGCTAATGAAAATTCCTAGAAGTTGGCATGCATTGATTTTGAACTTGCTCAGTGCTTCAGATCATAAAACAGCAATAGCACTTCCCACTAAGGTCTCAGTGGGTTCCAATTGATCATCTGCCATCATTCTTCTGGTAGAGCATGTTGTTACCATTTTCACTCCAAAGCAATTTGAAGCTGACTTGTGATCATCCTCGCTTCTGTCAGTCTTGAAATTTTGAAGCAGAGTGTAAAAAAAAAAGTCTTCAATAAAGACTTCAACCAAAGCTCTTGCAGATCTTGGAGAAACAGAACTCCCATCTTTCACATTCTACACATCTGTCTGGTTGTACACAAAACAAAATTTTAAAAATGAGCTATTGTTGTAAGGGAGAGCTACAAAGCTGTTGTGTTATCTTTCCCTTTAAAGAATTGAGAAACAATAGTGCAGGAATGAATGAATGAATATGAATTCCTACCAATGGGAAAATGAACCCTAGAGTACTGCAAATTAAAACTTTGCTTTGATTTCAGATAAATAAGCATGGAATCACTTAAAATTATTTTTAAATTTATCCAGAAAATAAATCAAATCATTTATTACAGCCATCAGGCCAGAAAATGGCAATATAAAATCAACACACACACACATACACATACATACAGTTTGTATGTGTGTGTGTGTGTATATGAAGTTTACAAGATATAAGATATATAGCAAAGAATAAAAATATAAATATAAAAAATACAAGATAAAGAGTACAATAATAGCAAAGTAAAATAACAGAAAATAAAAATAAATAGATGAAAGTCAAAATCTTTAGCTACAAGTAAGGTGAATAGAGCAAATAGAAGCACAACATTGGGCAACCTGGCATGATATACCTGAGTTCTGATCAGACGAGAGGAGCAACAAACAGTAGTTGTGCTGTCTCCCAGAAACTTCTTCAGCAGGGGTAGAAGAGGGTCATTCAAGAGTCATTGTGAAGGGAACAACAAAGGCGCATGTGGCTCAGGGACTCTTCTGAGCCATCCTCATGTGGGCACGGGCACTGATGCACAGGGGTATCCTCATAGCATCCAAAGAGCATTCTTGAGGACAGTGGGTTGAGCCTGGCTAAGGCAAAGCCTTTATGAAATGTCAATATTGTAATGGATGGTAGATTGGAGACAGCAGGCACAAACCCTTTTGGAAGAATCCCCCAAATCGTGGGACCAGGCTTAGATTTGTCTGAAGTTCAGCCTCCCAGATCTGTTGTTTGAGAGCACTTCTGGCATTTTCACAGCCTAATGAGAAACCCAATGAGTGGATTTTGTCAATAGCTGCCTTAATTGTTGAATTAAAGGGGTCCCTAAGGACCAAAAGCACCAAACCTATAGGGAAGAGAATTAATTTTAACCCAAAATGGATGAGTAGGAACCAAGCTGTAGCATCCACAGACCCCAACCCCATCTCCAAATGTAAGAAGGCATCCTTAATACATTTGCGGACTGCAAGAATGGCTCTGGTCAACTTAGTTTGAACAATTTCAGCACAGCTGGACTTGGCCAGAGAGCAGATTGGAGCTCCATGAAGAAGCTGAGGGACACCTTTGCTTACAGGCTGCAGGCAAAAGAATCTCACAAGAGCTGTGCACTAGCCCAGGAGGAAAGATGTGTGCTCCAAGATAAAGAGGTGTGGAACAGTACTCCAAAGCATTTATAGGTATGCATCAGCTCACTTGCAGTCCCATTGATTTACCATTTATGGATTTTATGACAGTGCTGAGCAAATACTAGAACTCACTTTTGCAGCACATACACTAAAATTGGACCGATAGTCAGAAGGTGAGCAAGGCCCCCGCACAAGGATGACATGCAGAAAATAAACATATTCTGCAAAGATTCTGTGTAGAGGCATCTAAAGATTGATTTGCACATTAGCTAAAAGGATAATAAAACCCCAGCTCTTCCTTTGTGCCCCATGCCCCTAAATGTTGTTTTGGTTGCAAAAGGTTTTGTTGGTTTTCAACTTTTGTTGCTTGTAAGCGCAGGGAGTCATTTTGCTTAAAAGAAGTATACAGAAAAAAAGTTTAAGGCAGGGAACGTTAAGTAGAACTTGCTAAATATGGCAGATTCATTCTGAATATAGAAACTTCAGAGGATCATGTACTGCTTTACACTATAGAGGGGTATAATGAAGTCTTGATGGAACTTTTCCTGCTTTGGAAAGCATCCTTAAGAGAAGTGATTTTTACTTCAGAGATGGCTGACAGAGGTATGTCAACTAATTTGCTGGCAGATCATGCAGGTTTTACCTCTCTGTTAGGCTGGATTTCTTTCTAGTGGCGTTTGTAAGATGGGGGACAGGGGTATCCATAGGGTATGGTAAAGAGCAATTCAAGATGGTGGCTGCAATGGCGCAATTCACCTGGAGCTTTGATCGCACCACTGCAACTGCCACCTTGACTTTTGGACTTCTCTCCTTAGCTTAGATCTCCTCGCATGCTTCAACACAACACTGGAACAGCTGACATGAGCATTCGAGGGAACATGTTGTAATGATTATGCTTATATATAAAATATATGAGAGTGAAGACCATTTTAAAAAAGGGCCAAATTAGCTTCAATATTAAACTGTTCAAATTTAACAGTTAGCCACCACAGACTTCTTTGCTAACTTCTTTGCCCCATTCTAGGAACAAGCGCTACATAGCAAACTCTTGTACATGTCATCTTAATTATGTTCCGTGTGGGTGGATGTGCATCCCTTATGGAACACGAGGTGCTGGAAAATCTCAGAGCACTATATTATTAGCACATGCCTGGAAGGTTGAAGGAAATAGGTTTTTCCAGCAAAATTATAACTAAGCGTTCAAGCATTCAAGATCATTATTGAATCAGCATACAGTACCTCCACTGAAGTTGCTATTTACAAATTAAAATGATAGATTTCTCGGTATTTATGTGACTGATTTTCTTTGGATGATATATTGTTAGCTGTCATAGGCATCAAATAGAGAAAGGCCAGAAAAGCACTTTATTAAGTCAATAAATAAACCATTTTAAAAGGAATCTATGCCCAGTGTTGATGAGTAGACTGTAATATAAAATACAATAGCCTTTCTAATAACAGACCTGGGAGACATGATCAACAATATACCCTTAACTTTTTTCCAAAGATTTGATTCATAGAACGAGCAAGCAAAGAACATAATAAAACATAATAAGATTTAGTTCATAATCTATGGACTTATTTGAATATTTAAGCTATGTTTTTTTATAATACAGGGAATACACACACAAATAAAGAGACACACACATATAAAATCTACTTCAAGGTTTCAGCATTTTACTTTTTTTCATCTTTCACATAGAATTTTATTTTTAAGGACAGAGTCTTTTATTGAATTGTTTCTCTTGTTTGATTCAGCTATTTCATAGGAGAAATGTATAGGGTTCAGAAACAGAAAAAACAGTGGATGATAAAGTACAGCTAGGTTAGAAAGCCATAGTTCCTCTGGGGCGTATTCACAAAAGAGCACATAGTACTTTGATCTCTATTTTTTTTTTCTTCATCATGATGGAGAGGTCATTTTTAGAAACCCCACCATGAAATCCTATGACTCTGAGCATGAATCAAGTTAGGACTTCCATATTTTGGTTGTAACTCTTTGGGCGGCCATTAGATGGCAGCAAAGAACTGCATACAATTCTATCCTGTTGCTGCCATCTACTGGTCACCAATGTGTTGCAGACCAGATCTACTATCATCTGTGGTTTGGATCTACTACCAGTAAATGCTAGGACCATTCTTTCTTTCTGTACTCAAGTTGAGCAATATCTCATATGTGACCCATGTGAAGTCAGTAGGACTTCTTCACGTCTGTTACAACTCAGTGTGAAAAAGTAGAATGGAATCTTATTCTTTACCTTAGGAACTGTAGTGGCGATGCCTGGCAGGAAACGTAACTGAAATAAACATAGAGTGAGAAACTCTTGGCAACTGGAACAGTTTGCATTTTCATCTGAACCTGAGGGAATTAGGCAAACTTAGTACATTTTTAAAGGGTTACTGTAAGAGAAAATATTATTTTATCCACCCACTTGTCTTTGGGCCACTTGGCCAACCACCAGATGATCCACCCAAACATGAACTCTGTTTCATTACTATGCCTTGCAGCTGTAATAGATGACTATTTGGGTTATATGAAACATGTTGGTAAAATAATGGATAAAGGGCCACTTTCTTTGTCTGTTCTACCTAACAAAGCAGCTGTGCACTGAGCATTGGCGAATGGTGGGAGGAAGCTACCTGGGAGCTCAAGACAAGTTCTGTGTTAGGACTGTAAAAGAATGCCACCACCAATTCCTCTGGAGAGAAGATTTGGGGCTTTCACCCCAAAGAATTCCATGCGAGGCCAAATCTTAGTCACTATAAAGACTGGGGAAACGACCCAGAGTTCTCTAGCTTTGAGATCCTCTAATTTCAAAAGTCAGGTCTGCTCCAGCAATCCTGCACTTTTTCCAGATGTCCTCTTGTCTTCTCCAGTGCTTCCTGAAATGATGCTAGAAAAAAGGAAGAGGTGCTTCTGCAAAGAGGCTTTTTAGGAATTCAGCACAGCTGGAAGGCATCTTTCAGCCATCTTCTACTTCTAAGTGCAGTCCACGTCTGCCACTGTTTGCTGTAGCATTATGCAGGAGTAAATCCTAGACTGAAAGTTGTTTTGCCAAAGTGGGAAGTACAAATAACCCCATTTTAGAGGATCTGTACATTCTAGGCTGTTGAAAACAAACAGTCCCAGGACACTCAAACTCTCAAAGCATTTAAATCAATCTGATGTCCGACAGTTCCTATCATATCCAAGATAGCGAGGCCACATCCTTCCCTTTGTTTCCAGAAATCCTTTAACAATCCTAGTCTCAGGATCTAAACCTACCATTTAGACTACAATGTGCCATCTTGACTTTAAATAACCTAACCAATTTTTTCAATACCACCCCTTCACACTTTGTATTTTTCCTGTATCAACATGAACTAGAGACTTGAAGGTAGAGGAGGAATTGTGATTAAAATAGAGGAACCCAAAATTTTCTCATGGATTTCATCTTGTCTAACAACTTATATCATAGCCATGTACCACAAATAGCTGAACAGAGTCTATTATGTCTTCCAAGATGCTGTACTGGGTGTGGCTCAGAATAATCTGCTTTAGTATTTTACCTATCAAACTCAATTTGCACGTTTAATTAAAACAAAAGAAGAAACCAGTCTATATTTCACTTAATGTTATTGAATGTTGATCGTGAACTTTCTAAATAGAATCCAATGACTGATTTTTCCATGATGAATTGAAATCACTGGCATAAACTCCTGTTGGTTGGATATCACATATTGTGAACTAGAAGATCTGTGCTATAATCAGTCCTCATTGGGCAGTAATGATGTTGGCCTCCAAAACACTTCTAAAGAATTATTTCTGACATGACCTCACCCAAATTATGTATTTGTCCTACTGTATTTAACTAATTATGTATTAACAGTGACTATATTCAACAAAGATATCATACCAGGATGGCATACCTAGGCTTACAACCTGTTTCTACTAATTTCCTTTACCATACACTTAAAACCATAGTCCTCTGCATTTTTACTTGCAGATAAATCCCACATGTATTATAAAACTTACATCTGAGTAAAAATGTGCCAGAGTTATTGTCTGCTACTCAAATGGAATGCCGAACACTGAGTTTGGATTCGTACAGTACAAGATACCAAAATGTGGTTTGCTTAGGTGGGCTTAACATATTTTTGGAACCCAGACAAGGCAGTCTTCCAATCACGGTTTGTGATATTGCGTTGGGGTGGACTAGACCATTATGGCTTGTTCAACAAAGCAGAATTAAAACAAACCATGGCAGTGCCACTTATATATCACTCCAGTCCAGATTGTATGAACCAGGGTAAAAAGAAACCCTATTACAAAGCAGGCACATGTGTGGGGATTGGGTCCAAAAAGTAAAAACGGCAGCCACAACTGCTTGATAGAAGCTCTGCTCCTTTTTTATGTGTGCTACGTGTGCAATACATGGAAAAGGGGGTGGGGCTTTAACTGCACATTCAAATCCAAAACACTCTTTCAAGCGAAAAATGTGCTGTTTTGAGATCAAAACGCTTCCAAAATGCTTGAAGCAGCTCACCCTGCCCTTGAAACAGTGATTTTGCATTCAGAATGGGGCCTTTTAAATTGGAAATGTGTGTTTTGAATTCAAAATGCTAATAAACCGAACTGCCCAGTAGAAGGGAGGTGGAAAGATGGTGCAGGAGAAAACGACGCAGGAGAAAGGATGTCTGTCTTCCCCACCTTTCCGTTATGTGAGTCTGTTGCCCCATTGATTCCAAATGCCACATTGGCTGGAGATTTTGGGGACTGTAATATGAAATCAGGTACCGCTGCTTTACGCAAGGACGGAAGTCGGTATTGTTATTATGGGTCATGGAGCCATGCAACACAAAGACCAAGACAACACACCTAACAAAAAAGCCTGTGACCGTGTTCAGTTTATCCTTATGTTAACAAATCACAAATCAACTGGTGAAAAAAAAAATCAGGCAGTCAATCTTTTTTTTATCTTTTTCATTTTTTTTAGGCTGAACCGACAATGAAGGAGAAAATGTGTTTGTCCCATTCTGCCGATAAAAAAAACAAAACCAACCCTTTTAGGTAAATTTGTCCCTGTGTGGCATTCTCTAGAGTTGTTTGAATACAGTTTACCCTCAACCAGTAACTCTGATGAGGAGCGAAGACTTTAAAGCAGCGTTTTTCAAACTTGGCAACTTTAAGATGTGTGGACTTCAGCTCCCAGAATTCCCCA